AGAGAGAGAGAGAGAGAGAGAGAGAGAGAGAGAGAGAGAGAGAGAGATAGAGAGAGAGAGAGAGAGAGAGAGAGAAGAGAGAGTGTGTGTATGAGTATGTAGACGTTCATTTTGCTTCATTGTGTAGCCGTTTTATTGTTGTGTCATTTCATTGCGTTGATTGAGCTTTTGAGTATGGCTCAAATCAACGAACCAGTCGCACTTTTCTTTATCTTTGCTGCCTTGCTGTCTCTCACCCTCTCACTCACTTCATGTATTCTTTTCATTTCACTTCATTTTATCGCTTTTCTCGGGCGCATTTTCTTCCACACTCACTTTTATTATGTATTATTCTGGATACGTGAATCGTTTACAGATTTTCTTTTCATTCTTCAGCTTCGCACACAGTAATGGCGAGTTGGTTGGCTGGTTTGCTCTCTTTCTCCAAAGACCGAATGTAATCAGAACAACTCGTATTCATGTGTATACTTTTGAGGAGATGTTCGTGCTGCGATTTGACTTTTGACTCAGAATGCTATTTATTTTCGCAAAAATAAAATTTTCTGTTTATTGTATGTAAACAGTCCAAATCTTTATCCGTCTTTTTTTTCTTCACTCACATCAAATTGAAAATAAAACAATTTTCTTCTGTTTCAAATGGCTTTGATGAGTTTACATTTTTTTCGAAAATCTTTTACAAATTCTTTCCCACTTAAAAAAATTCTCTTTTACATTTCTTTTGCTTCGGAGTTCAAATTCTTTTCAATTTGAATTATTCTGCGCTTAATTCGTCAAATGATGCGAATTTTATGTGCTTGACGAGATTTTTGATGATGAGTCCTTCGTCACAATAATCCATTTGCTCTTTTTTTTAAATTGATTCCCCGCACCACTTTATTTCCCTTCACACTGTTTGTTTACAACACACGGGAAATAAAATAAAGTCATAAAACAAGGTAATAAATTGGCATTCGGTCGCATTCAACAAAATATGAATATATTATGAAATGAATTCGCGGAAGAGCATTTATTGAAATGGTACTTTTGTTCAATGTTCTTCGCCCCATCGACAAATCGGCACGTAAATTATTAGCACCGTAGTCATACCATTGAGATGTTTGAATTCATATAATGGTTCCCAATTGCGTCACAAAATTCCTGTGCATTTTTACGTCTGGACAAAATGCTGTGACAATTTCAATCGACATTTTCCCGGTTTGCATTGTCGCTGTTCCTCTTTTTTATATTGTCATCCATCGATTTGCATCTGTAGAGTAGCTAATCGCACACCTGAATCCGATTGTCGATGATTGGGAAACAACATATTGCCAAATTCGCTGAGATCGAAAAGAACTTTTTTTATCCAAATTTTTGCTGCTGGGAAAACTACAATTTTATCAAAAACCACAAATTCGTTCGATTATTATTATTAAAGTTACCACATGCAAGACACATGAGTGCCGTAAAAGCAATATCAAAATCACCAAATCGACACCGTTTACTTTCATCCGAAAAACTACACGGTTGTGGGGTTTTCACTGTAATTCATTCGATTTTGTCATATTTTTCGCTAACATACATATACTTTTATCGGTGAGGAGACTTTTTATCAAATTGCAGTCGTTTTTTAGGTTGATATCGTTTCAGTTAAATGTTTGTCCTTGTCGATATTGCATTGCTGATGAAAGGTAAAAAATTGGATTCTGATGGAAATCATGTGCAAATATATTGAGTGGAATTTTCCGTATTTTTGCTGAAAACCGCCATCGAATGCCAAAAAAAATATTACGGCAAAGTGTGGTTTACTTCGTATTGGAAAATGGTCGCAAAATAAAATATCAATTGCAATAACTGTAAAAGGTTTTTATGGTCGCATGCAAGCTTACACACATATATTTTAACCATCCATTTTCGACAGTGAAATTGATAGAAAAATTGTTTGACGAAAAAGGTTGAAAGAAAAATCATTTGAAAAAAAAAAACCATATTTACCGAAATTTGAATTCCCAAAACGATAGTGTGTTGGCAAAAAGGGGATTGTTGTACTCTCGATGTTTGGATTCAATATTCACACATGTAGACCGATTACTGCTAATAGACAGTGTGACTTCTCAAAAAACAGCTACTATCTCTATCAGTACGCTATACTAGGGTCGATTCATGAGTTCGAAAACCGCTTTTTATTCGTATAGATAGAAGATTACCCACTTTTACTATCTTTTAGTTTGAACTTGAAGAATAAATATGAATCTGAATTGCACAACACAAATAGATATTTGTAGTTTCCAAAGACAAAAATGTACAAAATGTATGGCAAAAGTCATAAATTTTGATAAGAAAAATAATGAAATGCAAAAGTTGACAAAATACATAAATTATCATCGGCATACCGCGGTTTTTCAAATGTATTAACATTTATATCGTTTGTTTATTAATCATCATCACGCTTTATCATAAGGATTGAATGTTTATTGCATTTTTGCGCTAACATAAACTCAATGAAACAATTTAAATGATTTTCATTGTACTTTTTATCTATTTCCTTACGGAAATTTCTTTATTGAAAGTTTAAACCATTATTAGCTTGTGAGTATTACTCATTGTGTAAAATGTGTGGAATTTTCAGATATTATTTCCTGGTTTCAAATGTACCAAATTTATTTGTTCAAGACTAACGACAGGCAAGGAATGCAAAATATTCATGTCAAATCAAATTCTCTCAAAAAAATTTCTTTTTTATTATGAATCTGGCATTTCTCAAATTACTTTTGGTGACTGTCGGTTAAAACTGCAATTCTAACAAGTATAAAAGTAACTGAATTTTCATTTAGATTCATCTTGTACTAGCAAGCATATCGAGTTTTTTTCCTATTAATAAGTGAAATAGAAAAAATTGAAATGGATCTGGTCAAGTATACGCTTGCAAATTTGTTCGTGATTGGATTGGTCTCAGGTATAGAACAAGTTAACAGTTCCAAATATGAAAAGTTAATTTTTTATTTATAATTTAATTCGTCAAATATAAGGTCATTCGCTTACTCTTGACTATGATCCAAAAAATCGTATCGTCGGTGGATTTGAAACTTCGATTGAAAAAAATCCATGGCAAGTTTCTTTATTAAGTTCAGATTGGCACACATGTGGCGGTTCAATTATCAGTGCGAATTATGTATTAACGGCTGCACATTGTACCAGGTATTCGAACTGCTTTTTAAATTAAAATCAGAGACTTTTTCACGCAATGTATATATTTTGCTCCTCAGTGGTTATTCGGTTGCTCAGGACGCTGATTTTCCGAGAATCAGATTTAGGTAAAATCCATTTAAGATAAGATTTTTGTTTGTGTCGAAAAAAAAGTATCTAGAAAAGTTGTAGTATCTTATCTAAAAAAACACAGAAGATAAGATAATATCTGAGATACTTTTTAAGATAGAAAATGAATAAAAAGATTTTTTTTATTTTTAGAAATATCTTAGAATCTGAAGATAAAATAAGATATTAGATAAGACCATACAATGATTTTTGGATAGAATAGATCCACGCTTGGGTAGATCTTACGCATCTATCCTATCCAAAAATCATTGTAAGGATAAGACACTTTAAATTTACTATAAAATTGTTTTCTCAAAAAATTATCTTAAAAGTATCTGAGATACCATTCAAAGATACTGAAATTTTTCCAAGTACCTAAATAAGATAAGATATTTTCGGTCTAGATACAGATAAGATATAGATAGCATCTTATGTCGTATCTTATCTATTATCTTTATCTTACCGAACACTTCTGAGAAAGTCTCTGATTAAAATGAAATATTTGGGCATTTTTTTCATTTAGAGGTGAGTATTCCGTACGTGTTGGGTCATCATCTAAAGGATCCGGAGGATCCATTATAAAAGTGAAACGTGTCATTCGGCATAAAGATTACAGTGACTATACACTCGATTTTGATTTTTCGCTTTTGGAATTGGCCACTAAATTGTCATTCTCCGTCAAAATTCAACCAATTGCATTGCCCGATGCAGACATTTCAATTAAAGATGGTGAAATATCCCTTGTGAGCGGATGGGGTGAGTGAAATAAAATCGAATCTTCGAAGTTATTAAATAATAATTAAATATAATGAATTTTTCAATTAAGGCGCAACGCAAAATTCAACTGAATCGAATAAAATGCTTCGTGCAGTATATGTTCCAATTATCAATCAACAAACGTGTAATAAAGCATACAATGGAAAAATAACTGATCGTATGATTTGCGCTGGTTACGAACAAGGCGACTCGGGTTTTGGTGACTCGGGCGGCCCTCTATCACTCAAGAGAAATGGCGTTTGGATATTGGTTGGTACAGTTTCATGGGGCGCCGGATGTGCTCAGCCAAACTATCCGGGTGTTTATGGTCGTGTGTCATCTGTTCGCTCGTGGATCAAAAACGAAACTGGAATTTAAATAATCGAATGAATCACTTCCCACTTACCAATTAGCTGCGCAATCAAAGATTCCCTCTTTGTCTCAAAAACTAATCATTTAATCCATAATTTAACTATTTTCTTTATTTTTAATCTGGAATTAAATGTTTAACATTAATATCAATCTTTTCAATTACTCTGTGAAACACATATCTCAAAAGTGAAAAAAGATTCCCTTCAAAAATCCCCATCAAAAAGGCTCTAAAGAATTCATAAGTCGTCGCATTAAATATGTAATTAGTACACCATTCCATAGCAAAAGGTTGCATATGTTATCACAACGACTCCACAGAGTCGCGCACTTCATTCCCCAGCTACCACGTTTGAGCTCATCGGATGAATGTTAATTTAATTACGGTTTGTGTAATCAAAATGCAATTTATGTTACAGAATCTAATGAATATCTTATCGATCAATCGACAAATTGAAAATGACGAATGAAAAATGAAAAATCAACACTTTGGTTGTGATGTTTGATATAATTGATGTTTGGCGTGTCTTTGGATCGATGATTAATTGATAGGTGATGACATATTTTTTACGATATATTGACATCTTGATTGATAGAGTTTTTATTGAGTGTAGAAAAAATGGTGTACCCCTCTAGCAGTGATGATGAGCGCTCAAAAACAAGGAAATAATTAATAACAAACGACAGTCGAAAGCTAATTTAAATAATGCCAATCGATTTAATTTGTTTGAAAATGTTTATTTTGTTTTAGATTAATAAAATAAAAGTGAACATTTACAATGCAGTTTGAATTCAATGTACAGCATAAGTTTAATGTGCGCCAAGACTTAAAATTACAAAAAGAAGAGAAAACAAATCCATTTAATCGGTGATTTTTTACAGATACAATGAAACAAAACAGAGAATTTCAGCTGGCAACACCATATACAAGAGAATTTTTGCACGAAATAGTTATAACAATCAAAGAATTTTTGTAAAATTTTAAGGAATGAGTTATATATGTAGCCTAATGGTAAGATTATTCTAAATTTACACACATTTTTTTGATTTTATTTAGAAATTTGATCTAATTGTAGTTATTTTGAATTAAGGATTTGTTTTTAACAGATGCTGTTTCACAGAGCAATAAGTGCTAGGGAGAACTCTAAACAGCTGAATAAGCTAAATATTTACTTCATCCAGCTCCACAGAGCCCTCCACCTCATATAGATCATTCCACGAAACAGTTTCTGATTTTTAATGTTTGTTAAGTGTCATTTTCATGGCAAATTTCATGTGTTCCCGCAACGATTTCTTTTGATGGAAACAATGAACAACAAAAGAATTCACAATCGGCATTACATTTTTTTGTAAAGATATGCTTAAATATCATAATATATACAATTTGATACAGAACTTAAAAAAATGAAACAAAAAAACATTTCTTAAATTATTATCGAGCTTAAATTGAATCAATAAAAAGCTATATTCCAGCAAAAAAAAAACCAATAAACAAAAATATAACTAAAAAAATAGGATTTAAAACGCCGTTTTACATTAAATGTTTTCCGAAACTTCCGAGGTGTAAAAGAAAATAAAATGTATAAGTACGACTTATGTGGCTCTATGCTTTGGCTAACTTTGGTACCCATTCATTGGGATCTGAACTGATCTATATATTCGGATGAATTCCATGTTAAATTTAAGGTTCAAAATTCACTTAACCTACTAAAAGATCTATATGCCTAAATATGTTATGCTCATAATAATAATTATTATGTTAAATTCAACTGCACATTTACTTAATACTCAATTTCAAAAATTGCACAATATTCCTATACATATAATGTTTTGGTGATTGATTGACAAATAAAAAGAAGATCTTTGTTTTGAAAAATTAAACAAATTGCCGAATGAAATAAGAAATAATCATGTTCAACTGCATTTTATGGGAAATGTAAATTGGTGAGCATGATCCATTCACAAATGGCTGACATATTTGTTCAACGAATAAGCGGTCCAATTTCAGCATGTTGAGTTTCTTTGTGGCGTCTCAGATCGACTTTGCGTTGGAATGCCTTATGACAGAGTTCACATTGAAATGGTTTGTATCCTGTGTGCTTGCGCGAATGCGTAATCAAATTGGAACTCTGGCTGAATGCCTTTCCGCATACTTGACACTTGTGCGGTTTCTCTCCTGCAATTCAAAACAAAGAAAAAAACAAATATAATTAAAATCATCATAATGGTAAAGATTTTCGGTATTTTTTGGGATGGTTTGTAAATCATTTCGGTCATCGTTAAATCAATAGCCGCCAATAATTGCGTGAGATTCCGAATCGGCCGAAAGCAATAAATAAAAATGACATGTTAAAATTGGCAAAGTTAGATGGCATCAAGGGAGCGATAGAGTGGGCGCGTGTGTATATTTGTGAATTTAAATATAGCACAAAATGAAAAGGCCAGTAAATATTTGGTGTCAATTGAAAATACAATCGTTTTCATCATATTGAAAAGGCAAATATTTTGTCAATGCGACCAAATTAAACGAATGAAACGGCAATAATTTCGGCGAAAATTTAATAATGTTTGACTCTCGGACTTCGATCGACTAAGCCCATATTCACGGAGTAAGGTTGTTTTTTTCCGGCGTGCCATTCTCTCCCTATAAATATTAAATCATATTATTATAAATGAACAGTAGAACCATTTGTCACCGGCCAATATAATAGCATTTAGTCACTTAATGATGAGTTTCCACCCTTAATTTTATTTGTATTTCATTTGTATGTGCTGGTGCAAAATAACATCGGCTTTGTGCCCATGTTGTTTGTACCAGTCAATTCGATGCGTATACACATGGATTATTATTACTATTATGAAACGAATCCTGATAATATCCATGGTTTGCGATTTAATTTCTCATTCAACAACTGTTCATCATCAACACAGCACACATATTAGAGAATATACATTTTTTTGTGTCTTTGCCTTTGCACATTTAAAGATGAATACGCTCTTTTGAATCTCCGGAGTAGAAATACTCTTGGCGATTCGAGATTGAGTGTCGCCACCAGTACCAGTACACATAGTTGCATTGCCAGCGGCATTTCACTTGGTATTTATATGAATAGCGTGAACAACACGACCCTTCCTCCGGTTTTCCACTCGCCCTGTCATGTACTCATAAATTATGACTTGATTCGATTTAGCGCACATATTATAGCAGCCATTTAGTTTAATATTTCAAAATTGAAATTTGACCTCGCTCAAATTCATTCGCCCCGCTCACTCTCTCTCTCTCTCTCGCTCTGTCTCTCTTCCATTCTTCCTCGCTTTCAAAAACCGCACACTTTAATTGTTTATGGCATGCTCAACACATAAATCTATAAGTGTAATATTTGATTTGTAATCTAGTGAATTGTTGTCTATTTTATTCTGGCACAAAATGAATTTTATGAATGAAATGAGCAATCTAAATGATTTTCATTGTTGATTTTTCACATTCATTTCAAAATGATTTATCTAGTCATTTATTTTTCATTTTAATCGGCTTCAGCAATATAATATCGACCATTTATGTGAGTGTATATAATCAAATAATTTGTGCGTGGGTATTGTGGACGAGCATTTAATGAAACATTCATTTTGAATTTCATTTAATTCGTTTGATTTTCAATTAGCAATGAATAAAAATCCTAAATTCTGTGAAAATCAAAATTTTATTGCGATAAAATACCGTACGTAGCAAATAAAATGACTTTTGAACCAAACAACATGCCGTCGATTGCGATGGTACGACAAATGAAAGAGTTTTCTCATTAAATGGTTGATTATAATCAAGCATGAAAGCGAGGATATTCGCCGTAATTAATTACATGCCGCAAGACAAAGTGTGCAGAGGAAAGAGCTGAACGAATTTAATGGTGTTCAGAGTCGTGTTTTAATTTGAGTGAGGTTGAATGTACATAAATCCGTTTTTGATTCGAAACGATTTCGTAAACTTCAAAATGAAAGAGCCCATTAATATTCATGTACGATGCTTGGAAAACAATAAAAAAGGGATAGATTTGATTTCGAAATATGAAGAGTATTTTTGGCGCCCCAGACACAATGCGCGGTGTCATATTCATGGAAGCAAAGCTGTTGTTTTGCAGATTTTCTACGTACATTTGATTTTGAATACTCGCACCTCGAAAAATCAAGCACTTTTCATATTTATAAACTTATTTGATGCAGACGCATAAATTTTACACATTCCACCAATTCATAAAACCCATAATCTGTGTCTGGTCTTGAAATGCACGGTTTGAAAAACTGTTTAAATTATATTTTTTTGTCTCCACCACCCTTGACTTGATTTGTGTGATCCCAACCGGTTGTAATATTATCCAAATGTTATTGAATTAGAACCAGAGATGAGGCACAACGGATTACAAACAACATTTGAATGAGGATAAAAAAAACATTCATCATTCAAACCATAGTGGTCATAACGTTCACTAAAAGTTTGATGCTGAAGGGAAATGTGAATGACTGATCCAATTATTTTTTATTTCTTAATGCTTGGAATCAGAGCCGAGGAAGCCAATTCGAGATTAGGTTTTTCTATCAAATGTTGCCATTTGTTCTGGTTGATTCAGAACGATTTATGTAACACATTTGTTAATCTGACACCTTCCTTTTTGGCCTGTCACTCACAAAAATGTTGCACTCGCTGCGCTTGCAATTCAAATGCGAAATCGCTGGAAGTGAAAATTTGATTTGCTTGCAATTTAAAACGGCTCTTTCTCTCTTCCTTTTCTCGACTCTTGCAGACGAATCAATAAATCGATTTTTTTCTATGTGTCTGACACAAACTAATTATACGTGCGCTGCACATGTTTAATGAAGATGAAAAAAATCATTCCATCGTCAGGTTATGTGAATAGTACGTGCTAAAAAGAAATCGAGCATTTATGTGTTACGTTTGGATGTTGCATCGCATCGCAATAGCAGCAGAGTCGTTGTCGTCGCTGTTGTCGTTTGCCTCTCATTCAGCTGAATTATAATCGGAGCGTATAAATTTTTCATTGGTTAGCTGTGATTTTGTGTGCCGCCCCTATATCCATCGTAACCATAGCAACTGTGCTTGACGGTCGGTTTCTTGTTTCGCTGACATTATTTCTCTTATCAACACTCATTTGACACTTGTTCGCTCCAGTTTGCATTGTGATTTTTCCATTGCGCTCGCTTTGACGATACATATATGTGGCTATGGTGCGTTGTCACCCAACGCTCTATCGATTCAATAATTCTGATTGGAGTTTGTTTTTATTCAATGTGTCCAGCAACAACAACAGCGAAAAGAGAAAAAAACACACGATTTAGGGCATTCATGACGATTTACGCAGAAGCAATTCAAAGGGCATTTCTTTTTTTTTTGTTGTGGAAAACGAATCACAAAATGGCCCAAATCTATCGGAATTGTCGAAACGCTGAATTGATTTGAAAATGTTAGAGAAATGCAAATCGGCTGTAAATTCATCGCATTTCAACAGGGCGATAAATTGAAAGGGTTTTCGAATCTCTGGGTCGTCATTGTTTTTCTAGGATTTTATTTGGAGCGAATAATTGAATGTGTATTCATGCAAATGAGATGGACAGATATTGTAAGAGAAAATTGTCGATTTAATTTGATGCGATTCGAACTGTTGTTTTTTCATCATTTTGTTCATTGCGAGGCTTGTTCAACTGAAATGTGTCCCACATTTTCTCGTACAGCAACGATATTGTCGAAACAAATTGCTACCACTTTCCGATGGCAAATGAAATGTACAATTTCAACATCGTTTCAAATCTTTACCGGAATCCATTTTGTGCGCTCTTGGAATTCAGGCAAACGGTGGCAACAACAACAGCACCAACACCATCACTAGCAACGGCATCAATAAACGTAAGGAATTTATATTATTTACATTTTCCCGCAATCCTGTAATGATTGCATCGTATAAAATAGATGAAATCTGCCATAAAAATGAAAATGTGTGCCTTTATTCATATCGTATATATACACAAACACACACATACCGTATACAAATATATATAAATTTATATCGAGATTTGAATCATTCTATCTTGCTCGTTCGTTTACTCGCTTCTGTGCTCTATTTATTATGAATTTGGGTGCAGAAGCAATCAGCGAACGCCACTCTGCCATCATAAATGGATACGATGAAAAATATTTTTACATAAACAGTGTGTGAACCGTGCAGGGTGGTCGGGCGAGTTGATGGTAGGTATGGGGCGCCCCAGAAGTATGCGCACATAGACGAAGTGAAAATGTAATGGAAATTTCATTCAATCCATTTGGAATTTGGTGATATATGTTGCGGATGGGGGGGAAAACGATGCTATAATCTCATTCAAAACGCAAATCTTCAACATTTATTGTGTGATATGTATGTGCGCTGCCACAAAATTTTCATCGTCAATTCAAGGCAACAAAAAAATTTATAACGGGTTTCAAAAAAAACCGAAAGCTATAAACTTTATTCATGGGTCATAATTCCTTCATCTCAATGCGCAAATTTACCGAATATTAAACGGAAAATGTAGTGAGAGAGAGAGAGGTAAAAAACTCTACAAACTGAATTGATTTCATCCATTTAACGGATGCGCGTATTGCAACACAAAAAACTGGGCCAACAAACGGCAAAAATCCAAATAATGCTCCTTTTTTCGAATAAATTCCTTTGAAGTAATTGCCACAAACAGTAAAAAAGTATATTTACGTTTGTTCTCTCTGATTGCGCATTCGCGTAATTGAATTTGAGCATTTGAAGCGAACATCAATTTATCTAAATTCTCTTCAGATTTTGCAACTGATTCGTTTTTCTCTTTCTCTCTCTCTCTCTCTCTCTCTCTCTCTCTCTCTTTCTCTCTTTCTGAAACATTTTCATATCGCAACAAAAAACTGCAAAAACAGAAGCATCCAAAAGTGTTTTCGCAACTTTAACATGTCTGCGTTTAGTTAGTCAAATGTAGCCATTTAATCTGTGAAACGCATACCGCAAACGCTTTTTCGCCTTTTTTCCATTTTTATTTATTTACACAATTTTCGTTACGCTTTTGATTTTTATTATTCTGTTGGGTGGATGTTTGAGATTTTTTTTCTCTCGCTCTCCTTTGCTCGCCAACGTGCTCGCCAAAACTCCA